CCTCTCTCACAGCGTGCAAGTGGGCTGTTATGGCATACGGGGATGGGGGCAGCTCGCGCTCAACTTCATCAACGTGGCGAGCCTTGCACGTGAGAGGCATAGTGGAGGTGGAGTTCAAAGAAGAAATAGAAATTTAATGGTTTCAATCTGCCCTTGTTTTTTCTTTTTGTTTTTCTTTTTATTTTTATTTTTGCATGTTATCACTGTGCCCGTTTTTTGTTTTTATTCTTTGTTTCGCAAAGTGCGCTCTTTTAGTTTGTAGTTATGTGACTATATATATAATATATATATATATATATTGTTGTCCTCTTCTCTCTCTCTCTGCCTACGGTTTTACCGGGCAGTTCTGTTTGTGACGATATATATATATATATATATATATATAGAGAGAGAGAGAGAGAGAGAGAGAAAGAGAGAGAGAGAACGAGAGACTTTGTGACTATTGGTGCTGTTGCCCAGACTCGGACGTTGTATTTTGGACAGAGATCCTGGGGGTCTATTGTGGAGACTATTCTTTCGCTGGGCTATCAACTTGCAGTCTCCGTTTTCTCTCCCCTTGTCGTCTCTTCCTCCACCTCCTTCGTTTGTGGATGTATGGAGGACTATGGCGCTCATTCCACACTCCTCGGGGCATCCTCGGGGCACGAGGACGATTCCTTGGAGTCGCCCGAGGAAATTCCCGCCTTCGTTCCACTCATCCTCGGAAATGTTCCCTGAGGACGATTCCTCGGGTGCTCCCGCGGCCAGTTGCATATTTCGACACACGGACGCGGGGGGGTTGGCGAGGTTGGTCCAGCGGGTTGTGTCCGTGGCGTCGCCCTTGGTCCAGGAGCTGTGGGCAGCGCGAATTCGAATTTACGCGGCGAAAAGAAAAAGGCTACGAAAACGGCGCGCAGTCCCGGATTTGAATTTCGAAATTCGAATCCCAGTAAGCGAATGACGGCGGCGTGTGTGTCCCTTACGGCTGACGGCAGCAACGTTCGTCGGCGAGACTGTTTTGGTACGGGGTGGCGGGTTCGTGGGGTCTGATGGCACGCCGAACGTCCTTGAATATGTCTGAAGCAGCACGGCCGCCGTCACACGATCGCCAACGTTGTGTGCTTCGCTACGCGCGCCTTTGCCATCGACGTGCACGCCGTTCAATCGGGTTTTCACGACGCGCCATCGTTGTTGTTCCCACCGAAGTCGAGCCTTCTTCACTTGGCGAGGACGAGCGATGGACGTGGACGGGGACGCGGTTCATGACACACTCAGCAAGGCGGAGAGGGAGGCTGTGGCAGCAGCCGTGAACATGATGCTCATCAGGTGTCAATTGCAGAGGACGGAGGGGAGGATGAGAGCAGCCATTCGCGCACGCCGGAAGAAGACGCTGCAGTCCATTCATGTGGACGAAGAGGGCAGTGGTGCCATTTGCGACGCTGTCCTTCAGGTGTGCTATGCCATGGGGTGTGGAGCGTTTCCCAGAGCGACGCCGAGGTGGTGGATGAAGCGTCGAACAGGGGGGGGGGTGGGAGGATCTGCAGCAATGCGACGACGCAACGGAAGACTACTTCAAGGACAAGCTGCGCATGTCGCCACGGGTATTCCGGGAAATAGCGGAAACTCTGTCTCCCTTCCTTCAACGGCGTGTGACGTTTTATAGGGAGCCCCTCCAGCCTGACCTCATCGTAGTGTTCGCTTTGTACAGATGGGCGTCGGGGGAGACATACGAGAGCGGGACGTGCAGCTTCGGCATTGGCAGAATGTCTGGGTTGGTGGTTGTGCGGGATGTTACTTCGGCGTTGCTGAGTGCGTACAGCGACAAGATATCGTGGCCAACAGGGCTGCAAAAGGCGGTCGTCTTGCGCGCTTTCGCTGACAAGGGTTTCCCCAACTGCCATGGCTGCATCGATTGTACCCACATCTTTATCGACAAGCCAGCCAATTGCCCCGGAGAGGACTACTACGACAGAAAACGTCGTTTCTCCGTCCAGGCTCAGGTGGTCATCGATCTGAACTTGCGCGTGCTGGATGTGTTCGTCGGATACCCGGGGAGCTGCCACGACGTGAGGATCATCCAACTGTCCAGTTTGTGGGCGCGTGCAGAGGCAGGTTGCTTTTCACTGGGCCACCTGTCATGCTGCCTTTCGGTGTGCGAACGAACGGCTATCTACTGGGCGACAACGGTTACCCCCCCTCGGAATGGGTAGTCGTCCCCTACGGCGGTGTATCGCAGCACCCGTCGGAGATTCGGTTTGACAACAAGCAGAAGACGGCGAGGGGAGCAGTCGAGAGGGCTTTCGGCAGATTGAAGGGGATGTGGAGGTTGTTCCTTCGCTCCCACAAGACGAACCTAGACACGTTGCCGCAGCAATTCGTCGCCGTCTGCATTCTCCACAACATACTCATCGACGCGGGCATCCCGTTCGACGACAATCTGCTGTGGGAGGTCAGGCCAGACGGTGTTCGTCGCAGGGTGGACCTTGGGATGCACCGCCCGTTGAGGCAGATGTGTATGGAGTCGTCGACGGGGGATGTGCTGATCCTGCGGGATGCACTGGCGGAGCGAATGGGTACGCAGTGAAGACGAGCAGTCGTAGGGAGCGGGCGGCATGCAGAGAGAGAGAGAGAGAGAGAGAGAGAGAGAGAGAGAGAGAGAGAGAGAGAGAGAGAGAGAGAGAG